CGTATCGTTCTTGCGGTGCCGGAGACACCGTCGCTGCTGCTGCTGCTGCTGCTGCTGCTGGAGCCGGAGCTGTTGCTTGCGCGGCGCAAGCGGGGGTTTCCGCGTTTACCCGTAGACCTCCCCTGCGCTGCCGCTGCTGCTGGGCGGAGACTAGGGGGTTGGGCGAGGCGTTCGCAAGAACTCAGAGCACCCCCGCTGTTCCACCCTCCCAGGACGTAGACGCCGCCGAACCTGTCCATCGTCGTGCCGGCGGCGCTCCTGCTCCGCCCAGCCAGTCACCCCAAAGTAAATTTAAAAATGATTTCGTGCACGTTGTACGGGGAGAGAGAGCGCGAGAGAGAGAGACCACGGTAGGTTTTGGTCAAAGATGGGAACCCAAATCTGAGCAGCCCACTTACCACGTTTCCAGTCGTGTGGCGACACCATAGCATAGGGGACATTACCTCCCAGGGGGTTTCTGTGAGGCACGAGTGCGTGGAATCGGTCAGGCGGCATTCTCAACAAATGTTTAGTGCCCACAAAAGGAGCGCGTGAAAGCGGAGCGCGGGAGAGCGGAGGAGGGCGTGAGGGCGGGATATTATTCCTTCAGGTTGGTGTTGAGGAGCACAAACCGCCAGCTGTAGAGGGAAATGGAAGCAATGAATCAATCCTTCCTACGAGGAGACTAAAGGAACAGAAGCATCGCAGAGGTGGTTTTCGGTGTAATCCCGGATGGGAGCTCCTCGAGCGTGATTGAGGGCAAGAAGACCGTTCGGTCGGTTTGAGAGCGGCGGGGAAAAAAAAAACTTAATTGTAATCACCGGTGACACGAATAGTCCACAACTCGCCTAGCCATGAGTTCACGAAGCCAATCTATTGAAACACATACGGCCAACGCTCCCGGGGGGCAAGAGCACCGCGTAGCCTGTCTCCTTCATCGAAATCAACACCCAGCAGGTGCGCGTCAACGAGTCCACCACTATTGTTCCACACAGGCGCATCCATCGAGCCCCGGCTTACTTACCGCGACATGGCCATCCTCGGCAGAGCTTCCCACGTGGTGGTCTTGCCGTAATACTCATCGACGAAGGCCTCCGTGTTATCCGAGCCTTCCTGCTCAATCCCGTGCGAGAGGGTGGGGCTGCATGGAAGGGGGGTGGGTATTCTTCCGTGTTGACAGCATATTTAGTCGTGAACCTTCGGCTTTGCACCCCCTGTCTGAAATGCAGATTTTGTTCCTGCTCTTGACTAACCTAGGCACGTCCGACTGAAACGTGAACCCTATGTATTTTCGCACAAGATAAAACAGTTCCCAACGACCCCCCCCTCTCCCATTCTTGCTCCTCTTTCTCCAGGGTCCGGGTGGAAGAAAGACACCCTACATTTTGCACCGTCTAACGACCTCCCGATACCCCCCCCCCCCCCTCTGTTCCGTATGGTAAGTGCGCGCAGACGACGTTTCTAGGCAACCATCGACCGTTCCCGGCGTCTGGTAGTGGAGGCCAGGGGTCCAGCCACAAGCAACAAGAGGTCGTCACGCAACCGGTTCGATTGGCTAGGACCGACGAGGCGGAGGGTTGTCGGTCTCGGTCGGGAGGACGGTTGGTTGACGGGACCGCGAGATGAGCAGCCGCCGTGCGTTTGGAGAGGAGTTGTGGAGGGCGTTGTTCGGGCTTGCATGTGTTGTTGTTGTTGTTGTTTGGCTGCAATGTGCTGCAAGCTGGCGTTCGAGACGAACACATCGCAGCCCCCCTCGCCCCACTCACACGCACTGAGACCTCTAACGTGTGCATGTGATACGTTTTTCTCCATGGTTTTGTTTCTGATACATGTAGGTTCGATTTCTTCGACCAGGGGTTTTCGACCTCAACCGCTTCCGCTTTTTGCTGGAGTTCACGCCGCTGTGTATGATGGAGTTCGCGCTGGCCGCCGCCTCGTCTGGCAAAGGCAAGCCTGCCACTGCGTCTGGCAAAGGCAAGCCTGCCACTGCACCTGGCACCCTCGATCTCGACGGCAGCAGCGAAGAGACTCGTCCGCGTCTTAGGAAGGCAGGGTGACATTTGGGTCCCAGTTAAATACTTTGTAGTCGCCGAGCTGGCGTTTGGAATGAAGACCTTTTCACCCACCATAAAAAGGCAGGGTGCGCTGTGTGAAAAGCAATCCCTAGCTTGCGTTGACGCGAGATTGGAGGCTGGTACTGTTTCTTCTCTTCTTCCCTCGAGCTCTTGGGTCACGCACCATTGCTGACTACGTCTTCCAGGAGACGGCGCGTTTCGTTCACTTGGTATGGGAGTATTGGCATCTGGGATTTATTTTGAGTGTCATTGTTTTCAAGACGGCGTGAATCTCTCTTCTTCCCAGGTAGGATCTGCAGGGCTGAGGTCAGACATGCCTGCCTACTCTTTCATCTTGAGTGTGAGATAGACATGGTGTTGGCAAGTTATACGGCGCGGAGGGAGAGTTTTACTGCCCCTGGTGACAACGATCGCACGAGAGTTAACGTGCGTAGTAATCACATGGAAGTACCTGTGTTTGCTTTCGGTTCGAAATCATGTGGGCTAGACGGTTCTGCTTGCCGCACACCAGCTGGACAAGATTTTTCGATCGGTCTTTATGGCGCAAGCGATTTTGCCATGGGATATTCGTCAGTGTTGAGCGGGAACTTTCGCAGTGAACTCGACCCACTGCGAGAACGCCATGTAGAACAAAGTCGGCATGCGCCAAGGTACCCTGTGCTTCACCGTTTCGTTTTTCCGGGCGCGCAGGCATCATGGCTGTGCGCAAGCGCCAAGCACTCGCCGGAACCAAAAGAGGAGTGTGTAAGTGGAAGCCAGGGGCGTGTGATGTATGTTCGTGGATATACTCTCCACTGCGAAACCTGCATCAAGTCTTCCGCTTGTTCATAGACGTGCACTCGACACGTGATCACAATACTTCAATGAAGAAAACATCACAAGACCCCCCCCCACCATCCCCCCCAAGTCTCCTCGAAGCATGCTTGCCAACAATCAAACGCGTCGTTACCCTCCATCTGCTCGCCCTCCTGCACGACAACAGCACCTTCGGCTCTGTCCATCATGCCTACAGGCTTAGTCGGCACCCCTTTCGTGCTTATGCCAGCGAAAATATATACTCCGAGAAATAAACAACAACAAATTTACCTTAACTACTTAAGCATCCCGCAACGATGCCGCATGCAATACGGTTGAGGCCAAGCGCAACCAGAAAGTCACGAAAGTATCTCGCCACTCGAACGAGAAACACGATGGCGTCAAAGATTCCCCCCTCCCCCTACAACTATGTGGACAAACAACAGTGGTACAACATGCGTTGTCGGCTCAAAGTGAGCCTTCAAGTATCACGCATTACGTGTACAAGTAGTAACACGGGAAAATTACATACTCTACATGAGAAACACGCAAACCACGCGCTACCATGTCAAATCGTCCCTGCGTCGCCTCGTGCGCGAGCCCCGCCTGTTTGCCCAACCTCGCCTTGCTTTTTCAAGCCAGCGGCGAATCCTCCCGTTCTTGGGGGAGTGGCTGGCGGGAGCGGCCTTGCCGTGGTTGTCGTCTTTGGTTTTCGCCTGGCGGTATGTGCGGGTTGATTAAGTTGGTTGTTTTCGTGAGTAATGGTCGTGAATCACGTGGCCGGGAAGGAAATTTTGGTGTATGGCGGCCTCGTTGTTGTTGGAGTCGTTCGCCCTGGGCTGACCACACACAAAGCTAGATAGAACACATGCACTAAGCGAGAGAATCGAGCGGCCACAGGATAATAAACACGTGTGGTGTCATGAATCTCGAGGGGGCGAGGAGAGCCTCTTTACCCAATCTTTGCTCACGAACAACAGGGAACATGATCGCCCCGAAAAAAACGCCAGGCGAGAAGCAACGATGACCATCCCAGCACGACCGCCGATACATGAAGATCGCGAGAATTCGAAAGAGGCTTGGCAAAAAGGTGGCGCAACCATACTCTGCTAAGCCACCTTCGAAGCCTCCCGGTCTTCAGCGATGGCTGGTGTCGGCGAGACCTTGCGGGGATGGTTATCGTTGTATGTCGTCTGGTATTTGTTTGGAGGGGGTTGATTAAGTTTGTTGCTGTTCGTGAGTAGTGGCCACGAAACATGTGGCGGGGAAGGAAATGGTGGCGTTTGACGGCGTCTGTGTTGTTAAAGTAGTCGCTCGCCCTGGCTGACGACAAAGAAAGCTACGTGACACACACGCACTACGCGAGGGAATTTGAGGAGCCGCAAGGTATCAGGAACGACGTTGATACGTCCAAACACGGTAGCGACTGTTGAGGGGAGGTCGTCAGAGGCATGCGCGTTCACTAACATCGGGTGTTACATAATGAATTCCGAGTGGTGCCGGTCCAGAACATGTCCTGCCCCATGGGGTGTAAGGATGCCTGGCTATGAAACAGTGTCCAGTGTGTACCGAAAAAACTAGTTTCTTCAAAGAAAGGATTGCCTTCGGCCATCGAGAGAACACACTCCAAAGCTCTTACGACCGCAACAATACTGCACCACTCTTTGCCAGGACCACCGGCAACCCCACCTGTTCACGATGTCCCTCAGAGAGGGTCGATGCAACCCGTTCTGACGCTTCCGCCGGTGCTGTGCCCCCCACGAAAAGAGTATTGGAGCTCCGAACCCCTCTCTTTCGCCAGGCGTCATGAAACACCTGCGGAATGTCGTCAGCGTCTACACCAGCTTCCTCCGAGGGCCACCACGCCGAGGACTGGTGAGCGGCAGTGGTGCCATCCTGGGTGGGCAAGTGGCGTGCGCCCCTAATCGTTCCTCTGCCCCACGCGTCATGCAACGCAGCGGTCAACATGTCGACGAAGTCAGGGGATTCTTCGGCAGGGGCTTCGGCAGGGCTGTTCGTGGTCGGATCGGGCGGTGTAGCACGAGACGCTGTTCCATACCCGGTGGCGGCGGTGGCGGCGGGAGTGGCTCCGGATTGGACGGGCGGGGGGGGAATCTCCGCCGGAAGGTAGGGAAATGTCAATGAAGGACCTTAGTTGAAGTCCTCAGGACCATCGAACTGCTGAAGGTGGAGACTAAAAAACGAGCGGCCGGTGTCCTCGTGGGGGTAGGAGCGACCGACCTTCTTCCTGTCGTGACCTTGACCATCAGAAACTGCTTCGCGCGCGATCCTGGTATGGGCAGGACTCGACCCGTCGTGCGTGGGGGCGGAGCTCTTGTCGTCCTGGATGGGCTCGACTCGCTTTTGCAAGGAACGGGCGTCGACGGCACAAGACGGCAGCTCCAGCGAGGCCTTTGCCTTCTCCAAGCCGTGGCGGCTGTGGTTGTTGGCCACCTCGCTGCTCTCTGCGATGGTCGCAGTTCCGTACTTCTCAGTGCTGCGGCTCTCGACAGGGACACTCTTCATGTCGCTCGTGCAAATTCCGAGAGAAGTTTCGGAAGCGGGGTCGTGGTATCCAACTTGTCCGGTGGTCGGAGCAGCGGCTTCGTTCGGCGTGTGCTCAATGTCACAAATCGAGCAGAGCCCATCTCCCACACCTGGCCCTGTTGGTGACGTTGAGCGTAGCCCGGACAACCCACTCCTGTAACGGTGTCGTTGGAACCCCTTCCAGCGAACAGTCCAGCCAGGGTATCGACCCCGTGGCCTCGAACCGTGGTGGTGGAGCCGGCGCCGGCGCTCGAGCCCTGTTTATCGTTTGCCGGGCGGGGAGGGCGGGAGGGGTTCGCAAGGAGGCCGTTAGCGAAATATGTGCGTGATACGCCCGACAATACAGCAGCGAGGGTAACTACGTATGTTGTTGGCATGATTGTGTTATGATAGCGAGGAGGGGCCAAGGCTGGTAATATTGGTAGACGAAGAGCTTGGTTTGATAAGACAAGAGCATGCGCTCATGCGATGCCGTAGAGTGCCTCTTCGCACCTTTCAAGCTGCACCCTCTCCGTGACCCCCACCAATTCACTACAGGAGGTATTGGAGGCACTTCGGAGCCAGAGTACCAGCCGGAACAGTGCGAGATGATCTGGCGTACAGGCACCCAGAGGACACACGGCTTCCTCCAACACGAGGACTTTATCTCCAAAGTTAGGGCCCCGTGCCACGCCATTTTGGATCTCTACACCATCGGTGGCTCGAGCAGGCAGCAAGCCCACAACGTTCAAGCCGGAGGTTTATCTCGCCTCTGGCGTGGGCGTTGTGGGCTGGCCGGGTGTTCGTGGCGCCGATGGCGTAGAGCTTGAACAATGCGTGGCACTGGGCCCTAACTTTGAAGATAAAGTCGTCGTGTTGGAGGACGCCGTGTGTCCACTAGATGCCGGTGCACCAGATCGTGCCGCACCGTTCCAGCAGGTGCTCTGGCACCGACGTACCGCCAACACCACCGGTAGTGAAGCATATAGTGGGGGTGACGACGAAGTTGAAGGGTGAGAGAGGAGGTAGAGCAATAAGATCTCCTCGGCTGAGATTCGCTGTTGACACTGTGAGAGTGTTCTGCCGCAGGCTATGTAGCATCGAGTGAAACAACAGCGTGGATTCGGCCGGGAGAGAGATGAAAACGACTGCATGGGTGGAGCCACGTCTTGAGAAATTTAGGAATGACACTACAAATACGAAAAATGTGCAACAACAATAGGCTGCTGCTGGCTATGAGAACGCCCCCACCTCTGCCGCTGCAGACGAAGGTGCCGCAGCCGCCTCTGCTGCTGCTGCCTACAACAACTTCGACAGAATTATCGCTACAGGAGAGCAGCACCGGGCTCTGATGTCTACGACGCACAAGAGGGGAGAGGAGCTTGGAGTGGCGCAACGGCCAAGCACGTTCTCCCCGCTCTTTCGCGCCGACGACACCGGGGAGTCCAATGGTATGTTACTGGACGTCTACATTGTAGTGAAAATATTTTTGTCGTAGTAGTGGCAACCAGCAGCAGCACAGGCGGCCGCGGCACCTTCATGGGCAGCAGCAGCGGTGTGGGGGCGTCCTCATCGCCTACACAGCGGCCACCAACCTTTGTTCTAAGAGAACGGGTATTGAAATGGCCTTACCATCTTCCGCTGCTTCATCCTGCTGGATCAGTTGTTGTTGCTGGGTAACGTCGTGTTGATCGCCGTTGCTCGACGACTTAGCCCCCTCCCTCACCACGGGAACAAATTCTTCTTCATGCGGCACCGGCACACCCTTCCGAGCAGGAGAGCAGATGAAACGTTTAGTCTAGAATGTGAGTCAAGGGGGTGAAGATCTCACTCACAGATAAACACAAAACGCACGTAAACGCACGTACATCGTGACGGAACAAAAAAGCCAATCCCTCGTTGGGCAGGAGAGCGACGGGACCTACTGTATGTCGTACTGCAATAGGTGTGATGACTACTGGAGCGCATGTGACTGGGACATCAAAGGAAATGCTCGACGTCAGTGATCCTGCTCAGGTATCGGGGATTTGTGTGAAAACAATCTACTGTAGACTATTGTATGGTGTGGTCTACTGTGTACGTACCGTAGATCAACATGAAACCTTTCAAAATCCAATCCCTATCGGAAATGGCCTGCCCCACGTAAGAAAACCCCACCGTCACCCGGCATGGTGCACCTACAGCAGCAGAGGAAGTGGATATCGTGCGTTCTCAGCTTCCAACCAGACAGCTTTGCCGGAACCAACTCCCGCGTCACCTAGCTACGTCCTGTGAGCGCGTTTGTCTTGGGCATGTCTGTGTGTCCGTGAACTACGAATAACAACATACGAGTCACATTAGCGCGGTATCGATGCTAACAATAAAGACACACATTAACCTGCTCACCTCCCCATCCCCCCCTTTCCCCAAGATGTGGAGCGGAGAGTCCACCCTGCGGGTAATCCCCTCGGGGTCCAGCGCCGAAGGAACCCGCGGGATGCGCACCTTCTCCTCGATGGCGACCGCGCCATTGCTGCGCCCAACGCCAGCCCCGTCAATGGTCTTGCCTGAGGGTACCTCGATGGTCTTGCCGACCTCGCCCCTCTGTTTCCTGCCCAACATTGAGTTGGTGTTGAAGGTGTTACGTTGCACCGAAGAACGGTACACGAAGGAGTTCGCGATCGGGCAGCACGCGACAAAGGCCCAAGCGGCCAACATCATGATGCGCTTGATCATCATGATTGTCTGTACCGATCCTGTGCTCGCTGTGACCGTGACAACAGGTTGTTGTCAAAGTCAGCGCGCGCAGAGGTTCGTTGTGTCCGTGTGCGCCGCTCTCAGCAGGCAGGGAGAGACGCGAATTGTAACGGGTTTTTCTACACACCCCGCCCCCGCTCAGGCAGAAAGAGTCAAGATCGCGGTTCGGGGGGGGGGTCCGCGCGGTGTTATTTTGTTCTTTGGCGGTCCGCGAGGCGTTTTTTGGTCTGCACAGCAGTTTCGTTATTTTTTCGTGTTCTGTTCCATGTCGCTCGGTTCGACGAGAGAGAATAGAATGCGAAGTTTCACAACAACAAAAATAGCAGTAGTTGCATCGGTCTCCATTGTTATGCTATCTATGGCGCACACGATTCAACACGTTTATCTGGAATGAGTGGAACACGTGCACGGCGCGGTGGTGTACGGGCTCTCTCTGGGGCTGGGGGTGCTGTTTTTTCCTTCCAAGCATAGTCTAACGGGCGGGCGTTGATTTCGCTGTGAACAGCAGGCGAATGAATCCGCTATCCTTCACTATTAGACTACTGCAGCTCACGCTCTCCGCGTCGTCTGTCTGTGACGTTTCCACTTGTTCGCACGTGCGTGCAGAAACCAAATCTATTCAACTGGTGTCATATCCAAGTTAGGACTTAGGCAGCAGTGTAGTCTCTGTGTGTTGAAGAGAACGCAGCCTCTTTTTGGGCCGGGGGGCGGTAAGACTTCTGGTCTCATGTACCACACACTTTGGGAGCGGTTTAAAGTGGACAAGGCTTGCCCCGCTCCCACTGATGGCGAGGAGGCACGAGCCTGAGACGACACGTCCCATGATATACGGCGGTCGGTGTGCGTACTGGTTGGTGTCGAACATGCATGCATGTATGTGTCGTCTGTACTGTATTCACACGCAGGGAATTTGAACAATTTCAAACACAGCTGTCATGTAGGCAGTTCCCAGCACAGATGATCTAGTCTACAACAGTATTGTACCCCAAAATGTCGGATGCCCTCGCCCCCTTGTGAAGACCTTTTTCGACGCCTTGGTTGTCTTCTCCAAGGTGGTCGACCTTGTCAAAAGGTCTTCACAAGGGGGGGAGGACATCCAACATTTTGGGAAAGGGTGGTCGACCTCCACCTGTTGTTGGTGCTGTATCGATACTGAATGGTGCTCTGTAGACGGCAAGATCGACGGCGCAACGTCTGAGCCAAGGGCCGTTTTCTTCCACTTTCGGAGCCCAAGCAGTCGTATCGTGAAGCAAGCTTTAGCCTCTGTCTTGTTGTTGCCGAGACCGCCGGCGACCGCTCGTCCTGCTGAGCACCGCGGCCAGCAGCAGCTCGCAGGGATCGAGATGCGATAAAAAGATAAAGATCCTATCCCCCCCATACCCACCTGCGTCTCCCAGCTGCGTGGCTCTCGTTGGGCGCCGAGACAGACCCTCTGTCCTGGACCATCCTGCATCGAGCGATCGCTGCCATGGGGAAGGGTAGAGATCGTGGAGACTCTAAAAAAGGGCGAGGCGGGCGAGGATCCCATTCAGGCCCACTACAAGGCAACGGTGGCAAAAACGGTGTTGGAGGTAAGCGCGAATTTGCCCCACGAACAGCAGCGCGTCGTATGGACAGACCTGTGGGCAAGCAAGTTGCGGGACATCTTGCAAGTGTTTAATGACAAGCACAGACAACAGGCGAGCAGGGGAGTGTGTGGGCACGCCAGTCGAACACCCATTGCACCTGCCTCGATGGACTTGGGTTGAGGGTTTCGTTACACCCTTCTGCTGCCAAAACAGGCCTGGCTTTGTTGGTTGTTCGAGTTGGGAATGACGAGACTGTCGTCATTTGGCGAATAGGATTGCAGCAACAGCGGGGGGGGGAACGGTAATTCCCCCGACCAAGAACGACGGCTCCTTTCGGAGGCATGCTTGGCTCGATACTCAAAACTTCTTCCTGAAAGACGATCGATGGAAGTCACAAGTCGGGACGAGCCGTAGCAGGGTGCAGCTCGCGTATTCTTATTTTATCAGGATCGACGCATCAACAGCACTCGAATAGATATCCCGCTGACCAATAATGAACGGCCGGTATTCTGAACCCTCCTACATGTAGTACACTGGAAGCCCAAATGGGGACACTTTGGGGACACTTTGGGACACAGCACTCAAAGGCCTATTTACCGCACTGTAGTTACCCTAGGCTCCGCTGTATGCAACGTACGTGAGAACCCTTGGTCTGTCATGGTTGGCTAAGGTGGTACGCTGTGTGATATGCTTTGTGATGCCTCTCCTGGGCCTCTGACTTGCTGGTACACATCTCCCAACCCGCGTACCCCCCAGTTCGCAAAACTGTACACATCACCTGGTGCTGGAAAAAATTGCCAACTTGGCTTCAGTATGAAAAGTGTCCCCATGTGTTTTGGGGACACCTTCATACTGAAGCCAGGTCACCCATTGTCTGGCAAGGAGCTCAGATTCTTTGGAGGGACTGTAGCCCCTCGACCAATGGCTGACAAACATTTTTTCGACATTTTTTTTTTGCGGAGGGACTGGGTACTAGGAGGATTAAGAGACATATCACATGAACGCAATCACGTGTTCTGGATGGCGCCCCCCCCAGCTCGTCTGTGTTTGTTGTCATCCTATCTGGTCGGAAATGTGTTTCCCCCCATATTTTATATTTTTACTCCCTTGGCGCATACAGTCATGTTTTTACACACTAGCTTCGGGTCGCATTTGCAAGATGACCACCTACCACACAAAAAATGATTGCTGTGTTTCCACCGCCCAGCTGCGGTGATGACTGCCAAGAAGCTGTAACGGCCGATGCGTTTGAAACAGCGGGACAATAATTGACTCCCAACGGCTGGATGCCCATTTCTTTATTGGCCCAAACGCTTTCGTTGCCTCACCTGCCGATACGAATCCAACCGTTTCGCAACCGCAGACGCACAAGACGATCCACACGCAAACATAGAGAACGGATGACCTTTGCCCTTCTGCCTATCTTCTCCCGCAAAGTTATCGTCCAAGACTGAAATACCCCGTGTGTGAGTGAGCCAGGTGAAGGATGCGAGATCTCGAACGACTGGACTCCCCAGTTGCGTATCAGTTGCAGGCTTTTGTAGGAGAGCACGGATATGTATCTCACAGCCTCAGAATGCTGGCAGTCTGGGATGGTCTTGTCACTTCGAGAACGCATTGCTCGAGATATATTGTAAGGGATGGTCTTTGTTAGGTGGTTAATTGTGAGTTTGTTTTCAACAAGTGTTGCCAATGCTACCACCGCAGTCTTCACTGAGGCCGGGGGGGACACGTTTCGAACCGCCTGTCAATATGATGAGAGTCGCCGTTTAATATTTTTTCGAACTCCGTGAGAAGGAGACTTGTGTGTGTGCTTGCCTTGTGCTCAGAAACGAGGTCTACCGCGCCCACTGGCAGGGGCTTTGCTGCAAGAACGACTCCACAGAGATAGCCATCTTGCCCTTGTTCCGAGATACTACGACACTACGATGTAGTGCTGTCTGCGGATGTTGTGGACTGCAGATGTACACGAAGAAGTGCGAGCAAGACTATCGTTTCCCACAAAGGATATCCTGGCGTGTGCCACATACATGCTGTAGGCTTTGGTGGAAAGACTCGTGTGCCACACTCTGCTGTTTCTTGTAAAAACGAAATTGCCCCGGTGCACACACGGAACGCAAAGGACACCACTAGCAGTAGAAACCTGTTATCGATGTCGCTTCCAACAAGGGTTATCCGGACGTGTGCGACATGCATGCTGTCGACTTCGGTGGAGAAAAAATCATGGGCTCCACTCTGTTGTTCATACAGCTTTTATTCGCTAGAAATAAGTCCAGCTGCGAACACGCACAAGACACCACTAGCGGTAGAAACCCACATATCGTGAGAAGCTCCTCCCACATCCCTGCCGCCGCTTTCATCCGGTGCCGGCGTTGGGTGCAGCTCTGGATGGGGAGTCGCTGACGGCCGGCCAGGTGGGACTGGACGTGCACGCCGTGGCGGAGTCTACCCGCATCGCGCTGGAAAAGCAGCTACACGCTTTCAGGGATGATGAGGTGTGCCGTGCGACGAGTGTGGAACGCCCCACCCGTCCCGAAAAGGCGGATCACATGCCGCTGGGCCAGGGGGGGATGTTTGGCGTACGTCCCGCTGGTGACGTGCTCGTTCCCTATCGGATGTTGCACTAAACTCGGCGGCACCAAGCCGAGTACGTGCATGCTGCTGTAGAAGCCAAGGACACATACAAGTATACAATAGAGAAGAAAATGGCGATGACGAGAGAAACCTCAGAAGGAGCGACCGATCTGTCCACGGCGAGGTAGATTCTTGCAGGCTTGTGGACTTTGTCAAGTGCGACGTCGCGGTTGACGTCTTGGATGATGTCATGGTTGACGTCTAACTTCGTGTACGGCACGTGGATTTTGTCACGTGTGGCGTCGTGGCAGACCTGGTTGACGTCTAGATTTGTGACGGCTTGTGGGTTTTATCACGAGTAACGTCGTCACGGTTGACGGTGTGTTTTGTCGGCAGGACGCGACGCAACTGGCGTTTCCCCCGAACCTGGACAACACGAGCCGGAAGTTCATCCACGAGGCTGTCAAGAGGCTGGGCCTCACCAGCAAGTCCTATGGAAAAGGTGCGCTCGTGTGTGCCGTGTTTGGTTTTGGTGAAGCAGTGTCGATGGCTTTTGGTGGTCGTGGGTGGTGTTGCTTCTGTAGGAATTGCGTTTTTTGGTGTAGCAGGTACGAAGTATTTCATAGTCGACCTCCAAAAGTCCTGACGGTCTTTCTTCAGGTATTTTGACCTCCAAATATCTTGGATTCAGACCCAAGTAGAACCGATCACAACCCTTGGTGCAGGAACCCCCTCTCACATCATGGTGTCGATGGTGCTGATGCTGCGGCCGCTGCAGGTGCGTGTTTGTAGTAGTTGTCGTTTTCGCCGGGCGGGCGGTGCCGGTGCCCTGTCCCCGCTCTGGTCGTCATTGCATTCGCCGGCGCTATTTAGTTGTTTCTCTCTCATCCTCCCGTCTCGATTCCTTGTCGATGACCAGCACAACCACCCCCCCCCCCCCCCTACCTCCCCAAGGGGACGCTCGGGACATCACCGTCAAAAAAAAAAAAAATGGTGGTGGTGGCGACGGAAACGGCGCCCAGCGGCCGCCGATGCTCCAGCTAGGGAACGCGAGGGACGCCGCCCTGAAGGCGTACTTCTCGAGACACCCGCCTTCCAGGAGGGAAGCGGACACCGTCATGTCGGCGGCTGTCGGCGGGGGCATGCACGCGGCCGCCGAGCTGGCGACGCAGAAGCGGCACAAGGTAGGGGGGGGGGGGGGGGTACTCATGTTAGCACATGCCATAGTCGTTAGACCATCAACCTCACATCCTTACATTGCCGGGATGGAGCACGCCTGGTTCTCACGGGGCCGGCTCTCACATGGCCAAGCGCTAAGCGCCGTGAGGTATTCGCTAAGGGGGAGGGGGGGAGGTTATTCACATAAACGCATGCCGTAGTCGTGAGACCATCGGCCTCTCGCACTCCTACAATGCCGGGACAGGGCGAAACATACCGGTCCAGGCTTTCACATCACAAGGATGACCCGCGTGCTGTGGTCATTATCCTTGCTTTTGCTGTGCCAAACTAGACAAGGGGAGGCTTACGGTTTTCGGGGGTGTCGAGAGAAAGTGTTCGTTCAAGGCAGAACCTCTGGAAAGGGGGTAGGGGGTACCCACGTGGGTGACGTCATCGTGGGGCTGTCTGTAGTCTGTAGGTGGGATCGGCTGTGGAGTGGGGTGAGGTTGGAACGCTGCTTTCTGTGGTCTGGGCAATGGTTTAGTCCGGGGCGAGGTTGGGTTCAACATGATCAGAAGTGAGTCTTGTACTCTACGTCGGTGTTGGTATTGCTGATCGTGGTTCTTCGTTTCTACAGTTCTGGCGTGACCGGGATTCAGTTGAGGTCTCGCGTAACCCTCCCCTCCCCACCCCCGGGCAACCGGTTAGCGCGCTCGATGCTAGTTCAAGAGACCCACACACACACATACACTTCCGTGCGCGCGCGCCCTGATGCCCGGTGGAAACTTAGGCCGCGCTACTGGACAGACAGGCGAAAGCTGTGACGTCACCCGGCGCTTCCGCGCAGGAACTCCAGCGCCGAACTAGCATGTACAAGTGAGGGCATGCGTAGCGATTTGCAACTTCTCCATTCGTGCAGCGGTGATGATTGGTTTAGGTGTAACAGTTTTCTAGGTTATATTATGTGGAGATATAGTTGTATAGGTGATGCGTAGAATTCGAATATAGATTGGGTCGGCCGCCTCACCTGTGCTGAAATTTCCCTCTGTTTTCTCTTTTTTTTTAGCCCGGGGAGCGTATCTGCTCCTCGACTTGCTTGTGGCCTCTGCGGCCGCTGCTCTGCCCATGGTCTTACATTCATTCCAACGTCGTCCGTGGTTGTCGCGGTGCGGTTGACATACAGCAGTTGTTGGCACATCTTGGCGGCGGAACGCGGTGTCCCAAAATGCCTAATTTTGTGTCCGATGTCTTGGGGGCCGATCTACTTGATGACGCTCTGCTTAGCTTCTTTCCCCGCGTGGCCTCTATTTCGATCCCGACAGCGCGGCGCAGAGCAGACGCCAGAGGGCCGCGGGCCACCAGCGCATGTCCGCTTTCCGTCAGGGCCTTCCCGCGTGGGAGTACCGGGACACCATCGTCAACATGGTTCGAGATCACCAGGTGCGGGAACAGCTCGTTTCAGCGAGCGCAGTCTTGCCCTACTGCCCCACCCCCCATCGTTCAATACCCCGTGAGGAAGGATGGTACAACCATGCTCAAGCTATCACCGACGCTGATCTTTGTGCGCCGCATGTGGTTCATGTAGCTGACCTCGCGCGCCCGGAGAAAGAGAAATACCGCTGGCGGGTTGGATAGGCAAGAACCCTATCGCTGCAGCCTGACTCATCTTCTTGGGCTTGTTGAGACTGACTTCATCCCGCTCGTTGTTCTTAGAGATTATTGAAACTAATTACAAAATGATTACCTGCTTTCTTGCGGTGCCATTCGCGGCGGAACCCCCCGTCGCTTGGGGGGGGGTTGGTTGCGCCGCAGGCGTGCCTCGTTAGCGGAGAGACCGGGTGCGGCAAGTCGACCCAGGTGCCGCAGTTCCTGCTGGACGACCCGAGCATCGGCCCCGGCTGCAAGATTGTGTGCACGCAGCCGAGGAGGATCAGCGCCATCGCCGTCGCGGAGCGTATCGCGGAGGAGCGCGGGGAGAAGATCGGGGGCACGGTGAGGGGGAAGTGGGGGGGGGCTCGAGCCGAGTGTGCAGGGAAAGTGCCTGGCGCCCAGTAGTAGTAGAGTTTCGGCCATGCTCTTGATCTCTTTTTCTGTAGCAAAAGCCACAAACTCTAGACGATGTGGATATTCCTTCGACGGGTGTTTTAAAACCGCTGATGATTAAACAAGGGGCAGCAGTCCACGGTGTTATCCTCCAGGTTTGACGATCGCAGACCAGGCTTCGCACACCATCCCAAACAATCGTTCACGCAAACATGCGACTATTTCTGTCGTACATCGCCTGGGAGCTCGTTATCATGCTTCCAAGAGTTTAGGTCACCGAGCGTAACCGCTTTCAAGGTCCGCCATCAGCCTCGAGGTGTTTTCGTGTATAGCTAGCTCGGGCCACGAATCGAAGTGGTGGATCGTCTCAAGCATCCCACTTCCCTTTTTCTTGAACGATCTCGCTCGCAACACAGGTGGGGTACACGATCCGACTCGAGTCGTCGGTGTCCAAGGACACCCAGCTGGTCCTCATGACGCCCGGGATCCTACTGAAGAAGCTCGGGCGGGACCCCATGCTGAAGGAGTTCACGCACGTGCTGATCGACGAGGCACGTAGCTGTATCGTATCGTGTCGTCGTGGAGATGTGTATGTGAACCTTTTTTTTGTGTTTGACTCGCCCTGTGGTTGTCGATCGTGCTGTTCTCGATGAGTGAGCGGCACACGGCGGCGGAGTGGAGATGTACCGCAAGAGGCGGAGAGATGGCGCTCGACCTCCCTAGACCGACTTTCACAGCTCGATTGGCCCACAACCAAGGATATGTGGCAACACGGAAAGTAATGGTGTTTTTGGCAACAAACATCTCTCGTCGACGGCTATCCGTGAAAATTGTCGGGCTCTTTCCGCACCCTCATTGGCTGTGGACCACTGGCCCTTTGAAAGTCGGTCTAGGGGGGTGCCATCTCTCCGCCTCATACGGTATGTCAACGAGAGGGTTGGGGAAGAGAGTGGTAGAGGTCTTTTTGTTTTTTTTGCGCCCTCTGGTTATCGATCGTGCGGCTGTCAATGAGTGGGCGGGATATTGGCCGGTGAACGCGCCAGTTGTGTTCCTGCCCACCCTCCGTATCGTGTGTTCTCCCCCGGTCGATCGCGCCGCAATGATGAGTGGGGGCACGTCGATAAATGCGCTAATCGCGCTGCTACCCTCAGCCCCCCCACCAAAATATCCTTATTCTTCCTGTGGTTTGTCACGGCATCAGGTCCACGAGAGGGACCGAAACAGCGAGTTCCTGCTGATCGTGCTGAGAGGGCTGCTGGCCAAGAGGCCCGACCTGAGGCTGATGCTGATGAGCGCTACCCTTCAGCAGGGCAAGTACTCCGAGTATTTCGGGGGGTGTCCCATCACCACGATAGGAGCGAGGACGTTCCCTGTGCAGGCGAGTTGGTTGCCGACCGCCTGGTTGCTCTTCGCAAAGCCAACAGGTTGTTGATAGTTTATATATTGATATATGCATACTATATATATGAACTAAATATTGACCGATGCGTCTGAGGAAATGAATCAATCCCGAGTTCCCGGATAGAGTTTCGAAGCCGCAGTTTTCAGCAAGTGGAAAAGTCGAAACCTAACCCTTGCTGGTGGAGCAAATTACGCTGTAGACGAAGCACTCGAAGTTTTGATGGGGTGCGATCTCACCTGCTGTGATCGTGACATCGTTTTTCCGATTGTTCTGAGCACGTTTGTTTCTTCGGGGCATGAAAACCCCCGGCTTGCTCTATTCCTTCCTCTCGCGTGCATCACTCCCAGGCGAGACGAGATGTGCGTGCCTCTTGTGAACGAAGAAGCTTAAGCTTACCCCCACCCCCCTTGTCTTGCGTGCAGGCGTTTTTCTTGGAGGACGTGCTGGTGCAGACGGACTACCTTAAAGAGATCGGCGCAGACACGGGCGGCGGAGGCGGCGGCAAGGGGTTGCTTGGTGGGAGCGGCGTCGAGGAGCTGGAGGCGGCGGGAACAGATTCGTACAGCTGTGCCCTCTGCGGGAAGGGCGGCTTTAGGTGTGTTTTTGTGTTTGTCCGGGTGGTTCGTGCCCCCAACTCTCCGTGTGCATATATGAACAGTAGATGTTGGTTGATGAGGAAATGTGTCTTATTCCCTGGCGGTGCAGCGTTCCTAAAACTTTTGCCGAGAAGTCGGGATTCCTTCTCTCTCTCTCTCTCTCTCTCTCTCTCTCTCTCTCTCCCTCTCTTCTCTCGGGCGCGCCATCGCTTTTTCTTTCTTCTTTTTCGTTCTCGTCATTCATTGTTGTGCGTGTGTTAAAAGGCTGTTTGTTTGTGTTCCGCACGGTGGGCGCTATAGTGAGTGCACTATCTAAGTCCTTCTGTTTTCGTTTCGCATGGCCAGTCTTGTCTTTCTAACCGGTTGCATACATAGCGTACATTTCCGTCTACTGTAGCTGTTTATCTTCCTGGCGCGATGAGTCTCAGCCGTTATCCGCGCCAATTTAGTGTCTTATTTCATGTCCGCGTGCGCGGACAGTGTCGTTCATCTCTCGGTTTCTCGAGTCAGCCGCTCGGAGTTCTTCCGTAAACACAGAACCACCACGAACCCCTGCGGCGCGGACTGCTCCCCACACCGTCCGTACCCCCCCCCCCCCTCCCCACCCACGGCTTATCATTCCCCGGAACGTGTATCCCGGCTCTTTGCGCTTATTTCCATGACGAAACACGGACGGGCTGGGGAGAGAGCAGGTCGGCGGAAGAACTCGGCACCCACGTCGCCATGTGCTTTGGCACGGCGGGGCTTGACCCCGCACTAGAAGGCTTCTCCGACGAAGGGCTAGAGCTTCTCGTTTCGGGGGCCGGCGGCGGCGGCGGCGGCGGCGGCGGCGGCGGTGGTGGTGGGGAGGGGGGGGGGGGGGGTGGCGGGGGGGGCCCCCCCGGCCGGGGGAGGAAAACCCCCGGTTTTTTTGTCCCCGGGGTCTCCTGCCCCTGCCCCCGCCCCAAGGGGCCGCGGCGGCGGACCAGGGGGGGGGGGGCGATGCCGGGGGTGCGGCCCCCGGGCGGGGGACCGCCGAAGCTAACGGGAACCCCTTGGTGTCTGGGGGCACCAGCCCGCGGCGGCGGCCCAAGTGGGGGTACTGTCCCCCCCCACAGGGGGGCCCGGGAGCGGCGACCCCCACCCGGGGCCGAACGTCCCCGGGGGGGACCCGTCCGGAAATCAAGCTGGGGGCATTTGACGCGGCTCCACCCTGACGAGACCCTGGAGGTTCTTTCGG